GAGGAACCCAGGATCCACTGCACCAGCGTAGGGTTTGACAATGGGTCCAAGGATTTTATCTGGATACCTAATGGCTAGTCTGTAGAGGTCTGTGTGTCCCTCAGCACAGAAAACCTTCTGGCAATGACACGTATTGGAGGAGTTGGACTTCCTGCGTAACCTCTGTAGGGTCCAGGTATCGCCTCATGCTACCAGTAGTGACACTGAGTCTAGCCAAATGCAAAACTAGTGAAAAACAGTCAGGATGAGTAGGGGAAAAAAATGTCAGTGGCCTCCACCTGTAAAACCATTCCTGTTTTGGGGTCGTACCATTGTACCCATCTAGTGCACCTGTTGTTAATTTCATTAACACCAAAGCAGCTGAAACTGATTAACAACCCCTTCTGCTACTTAACTGACCAGATCAATATCCCAGGAGTTTAATGTGCAGTGTGTGTATGTGTATATATAAATTTTATGCTTTTTTTTCAACTAGAACTTGGAACTCCATTTCGCCACCTCTGACTCAGGTCTTCTGCTACCTGCTCAACACTATCACTGGTAAGCACAGAAGTCCAGCTTCTGTGTTTACAAGTGATAGCTGGTCTTTCACCAGCTCCCACATATCCGATTTGCTTAGCAGATCCCACTGAATGCAGGACAGGGACAAGGGAGATGCAGGTGCCCGGGGTGCAATGCAGTCATGGGTGGGAGGGGTCACATGGTAGGTTGCACCCTCTGTGATCTCCTTCTTCCTTTTTTCTTCTTTTTTTTTCTCCCCCTGGTGTTAAAGACAGCGCTGGCTGAGGACCACTGTTCGGGCCCCTTGGAACATTCGGGCCCCCTACTTGTGTATTGGCTGCCATCCTCTGATGGCAGCCCTGCTAGCGGTGGATGGGCTGGCGGGGGCCAAGTGGTACCAAGATGAGGCTTCTGGTTGCCGTGGAAACCTGATGCCTGGGATTTGTCAAGCTCTGCTTTTATAATGTTCGTTCTCCTTGGTAGCTACATAAAAGGTTATGTAAGGAGGGGAGGGAGGAAGGAGCTTAGCCAGCACAGAAAGAGTAGTGCTATGATGTGCAAGGAGGGAGAGGAGCTGTACCAGGGAATTGACTCCTCCTGGAGTGGCCACATTTTCTAAAATGTCCAAAGGCACATTGCAGGTGGATGAAAAAAAAAGGTATGGAAAGAAAACCTTGCAACAATCATTTAAAGTACTTGATTTTTCTGTGCTTTGACCTGCAATACTGTTAAGTTGGTGGCAAGGTCTCTTTAAACACTTTTGACACAAGAGCCTTTCATGCTGTGCGCACATCTTCTACTGTATCTTACTGTTAATTATTCTTATTTATTATTGTAGATTAGTTTCTTGGCTCATAGTAAAAATAGTCCTGAGGGTTTATTTCAGGACAGTCATTAACCTATTGTCCTGGTTGTAAAAACTGTGCAGTTCCTGTAGGAAATGTTTGATATCTACACATGGGTGTTTATGGCAATGTTTTATTGGGTGTCTGGTAGTGTCATGAAATTAAATAAACTTCACAGGTAAAGTCAGTGGTGCAGTTCATTCAGTCAATGTTATCGGGAAAGGCATACTATGTGTGTGGACTGGGCAGCAGCTCAAGGCCTCTCATGGATTTTGGGAGCAAATGTATATGAAATGTAGGTCAGGCAACTTCAGTGACTTCTTTCTGTCACAGCAACCTGGCCAGTATTCACGTCGAAGAAAAGTGAGCAGCAAACAGCATTCTTCACCATGCCGCAACCATTCTCTGGTTTATAATTACTAGAAGGTGTCTGGTAGCAATGACCTCCTTGACCTGGCATGACTGGAGAAGACTTCCATCCTCCTTATCCTTCTGAGATAAAAAAAAAGAGGGGTACCTTTTTGGCACAAACTAAAATACACCCCCCCCCCCCCCCCATGTCCGAAGACCAAGTCTACTGTAGAAGTGGTACTCCACCACACTTCAAAGGGTCAACTGCCTACTCAGTACCGGGGTGCAGGAATAAGGAGTTCTATCTCCCTTTTTCCTCTCTCCAGCTAAAGCGATACAACAGTTTCCACAAAGCGTCCTCTTTAGACACTTCTTGTCGGTGGTACGCATATATGCAGCTTCTTGGCAGGTGGGCCTTTGCCCCTCTCTCTCCTCATTGGCTCACTGGCTGTGATTGACAGCTGCAGCATCTGAGCCAATGATAAGGGGGGAGTCCCCAGAGAGCTAAGGCTCTTGTGCACATTGCTGGATCAAGATCGGACTCAGGTATTAGGGGGGTTGGGGAGTTGCTGCACACACAGGTTTTTTACCTTCATGCATAGAATGCATGAAGGTAAAAAACCTTGAGCCTTTACAACCACTTTGAAGTGACACTAAGCTCTGGTTTAAAAAAAAAAAAAAAAAAAAAAAAAAAAAGTATTCAAATATGTATTCTTAACTCAAAAAGTACCTTCTATTGCTCTCAGCCTTCTTCAAAGTAAGTCAACTTTCTTTCTCTTTTTCTCTCTCTCGCTTGTTCTCCATACTCCTATTGTATGTAGTAACCTAACCACTTCACTCAACCCCAAGATGGACTAGGATCTAGGAGCTTTGGATCACCAACATTTGTGGACACCTGACCATCACACCTTTTTATGAGGTTGCTGGACATCCTATATCAAAACCATGGGCATCATTATGGTGTTGGTCCTCAATTTACTGTTTTAAAATATCTACTTTTCTGCGAAGATTTTTCTAAAGATTTTGGAGTGTGTCTGTCCATTCAGTCAAAAGATCATTTGTGAGGTCAGGTACTGATGTTGGATGAGAAGATCTGGCTCATAACCACCATTGCAGTTCATTCCAAAGGTGTTCAGTAGGGTTGAAGTCAGGGCTCTGTGTAGGACACTCAAGTTCCTCTACACCAAATGGGTTAAACCATATCTTTTTGGAGCTGGTTTTGTATTCAATCACAGAGAGAGTTGTACATATATTGCTGAACCATATAGTGAATATATCTGGAAATCGGTAATCACATGTGCTGAACAAAATTTTGGTCCTACACTGAATGTACATTGCAGCCTATTTATTTTAGAGGCACCTACCCAGTAATCTCCAGTGCCAAGACACCTTGAGTGTGTCTCTACATTTGTCTATCGGCCATTACTAAGGATACCAGCTATGATGGCTAAAACTAATAGTTGCCTGGCCATTGTGCTGACTCACTGGTTCAACAATTTGAAAGGCAGAAGTCCTTATCTGAATACTGGTTCTGGGTGAATGATGTAAAAATTAAAACAAGATGGTTAGCAAGACATCCAGATAATTAGCATTTGTGTGGACAGAAAAGTCAGCAGAGCAGTCTTCATTTTTCTGCTACGACAGGTTTCCTGAAGGGACCTTTCACGCTTGGGCTCCATTCACATCTAAGCGTTTTGTACCGTGACCTAATCGCACCTGCATTTAGGTGCCATTGAAAATGAATGGTGCCTGAACAAGCATGGTGCAATTTTATCAGTTTTGCAGAACATATTGGGCCTGTGATACCAAACTCCTAGATGTGATCGGAGCCTGATGTGTCATGAATAGAATCGCAACAAATTATTCTAAGCTTTGTACCAAACACAATAGTCTTAATGGCCCTAAAAGTTTTCAGCACGTTTTCTGTCTAGTTATAAGCGATCACTGTGTATAACCTCCATTAACTTTTGTGCAAAGCAAAATAGACAGCAATGTACCAGCACAATGTCCTCGCACAACACTGCAGATCTATATAAGCCACAATACTCTTCAAATTGCCTTGAAATTGCCGCCCGAATGACCACCGATTGAATGAAAGCTGAGCATGCAGCCATGGAAGAAGCAATAATTGAAACCCTCGGAACTTTAGATTTTATTGCAATAGTGTGTTATTATCACCAACTTACAAAGTAAATGCAAACCACTCATGGCTGGCTTCATTTTCAGAGAATTTTGAAGCTGCCAATTAAGTTTTATGAATTTTTTTTTTTTTGATTTTTTATTTTATCATGTTTTTATTTTATCATGTTGGTGTGCATTTATAAAGGGCTCCTCCCCCTTTTTTTAATTTTTTTTTTTTTTTTTTCTCCTTTAAATGCCTACCACACTCATGTCTGTCTGTGTTGACAATTCCACTTGTCTTCTCTGTAGATTGTGTGCATGTTGGGTTTTTTTTTTTTGTTGTTTGTTTGTTTGTTTTTTTAACTACACTAATATTTGTTTATTTTTAAATATGCCCCACACCCCAGTTGCTAATGTGACATGGCTGTGCCAGAACAAGAGGTGTAGTAATCAGTTTTGCAGGTGTAAAGGGGAAGAGTTGAGGGTCTTCAGGGTTATTGTTGGTGTAGAAAATCTGGTCCTGGAGATCAAAGCTTTTCAGAGTATTGGGCAGGATAAAGCTTCCAACCGTGGGTCTACATTTTGGTGGTGACCAGCACCCACTGATTGTACACAGCTCTTATGATTGGAGGGCTGACTAGTGTTCAGGGCTCCACATGTGAAGCCTATTTGACTCCAAGGGAGCAGTCAGGGGTGTGCACAGTGCTTGAGAAGTCTATGGGAAAGGACCAGAACACCAGCCCTGCTAGAGTAAAATAGAAGGCTGATTAAAGCATTTTAGAGTTCTGTTTTGTAGCATTGGTAGACAAGTGCTAAAAAACTCCTGCAAGGGTAATTTTATGTATTGAAACTGAACTTTCTTTGAAACAAGTGGGCAGAGATGGCCTGAAAAGGACAATTTGGTGATTGGCTCTTGATTAACCACTTGCCTACCAGGCACTTATACCCCCTTATTTACCAGGCCAATTTTCAGCTTTCAGCGCTGCCGCACTTTGACAATTGCGCGGTCATGCAACATTGTACCCATATGAAATTTTGATCATTTTTTTTTCTCACAAATAGAGCTTTCTTTTGGTGGTATTTAATCGGCACTGGGCGCTTTACTTTTTGCGCTATAAATAAAAAAAGTGCAAAAAATTTGAAAAAAAAAAAAAAGTTTCTTTGTTTCTATTATAAAATTTTTCAAACAGGTATTTTTTCTCCTTCACTGATGTGCGTTGATGAGGCAGCACTGATGGGCACTGATAGGCGGCACTGATAGGCAGTACTAATGAGGTGGCACGGATAGGCGGCACTGATAGATAGCACTAATGAGGTGTCACGGATAGGCGGCACTAATATGCAGCACTGATAGGTGACACTGATGATGATGGGGTACTGATAGACGGCACTGACTGGCATCACTGCTGGGCACTGACTGGCGGCACTGACTGGCACAACCCCTGGGCACTGGGGCGGCACTGACTGGGCGGCACTGGTGGGCGGCACTGGTGGGCGGCACTGGTGGGTGGGCACAGGTGGGTGGCACTTCTGGGCACAGGTAGGTGGCACTTCTGGGCACAGGTGTGTGACACTGCAGAGTGGCACAGGTGGGTGCACTGCTGGGCACAGGTGGGTGATCTGCTGGGCACAGGTGGGCGGAGCTAGTGGGCGCACTGCTGGGCACAGGTGGGCGGAACTTGCGGGTGGCACTGCTGGGCACCGATCATCAGGGCACTGATGATCAGTGCCGATCCCCGCTCTGACAACTGCCGGTTCTCGGCAGTACTTTCCTCACGATCTGACAGCGTGAGGAAAGTGCACCCGAGAACCGGCACTTGCATTTCCCTGTGATCAGCGTGTCATTGGACACCGCTGATCACGTGGTAAAAGGCCGCTGTGACTGGCCTTTTACCACATCACGTGATCAGCTGTGTCCGTAGGACACAGCGATCACGGAGATCGCCGGGTGCGCGCCCCCTGGGGCGCGCAGGAGAGCGCGTTCTGGGAGGACGTCATATGAAGTCCACGCAGAACTGGCCGGCCGCAGTGCAGCCATCATTCGGCTATCTGCGGTCGGCAGGTAGTTAATATTGTTGTATTTTCACAAAGTTGCATTTTGGTGTATACCTAGTGAAAGGTTTGTAGCCATTTCCTTGGTCAATTAAGGCAAGTCATCCAATCTTCATAGCTCATTGCTTTTGTTTATCTTACCGTGTTTCCCCGAAAATAAGACCTACTTACAGGTTTCCTTCTGGGTGAAATATAAGGCATCCCCCCGAAAATAAGGCCCCCCTAGGCTCTGTCTCGTACTGAAAATTAATTTACCGTAAACTGGTTGCTAGGGCCGCCCCGACTGGCGTCTAGCAACCAGTGACGTCACTGCTGTGTGGAGGCGGAGGTCGGAGTGAGCGGGAGAGAGATGCGTGTAGAAGAACAGGAGGATCAAAACGGACGGGACGCGGTGAAGGTGGTGAGTGCTGGTCTGTCTCTGGTGACACCGCCCTCATGATGACTGAAGGTTCTAAGTCAGTGGCAGACTCTGCTCCAGCCCAGGTCCAGGCCCCAGCCAGCCCAGTGACAGTCCCCAGGCAGGCCCCAGGGGGGAAATGTCTGATAAAGGGGTGGGGGCATGTCTGGTGAAGGTGTTCAGTGGCACGGGTGGGGGGAGGGGGATCACTTAAAATGACACAGAAGGATCAGCAGATGGGACAATCAAAATGACACCGGAGGATCAAAAGGGGTTACTAAAATGGTAATTTTCTTTATTTTCATTTAACAATAAATGTGTACCGTATTCTTCTTCATGGAAAAAATAAGACATCCCCTGAAAATAAGACCTAGCGCATCTTTGGGAGCAAAAGTTAATATAAGACACTGTCTTATTTTCGGGGAAACAGGGTATTTTTTTTCAGGTACTTATATAGCGCCATCAATTTACGCAGCACTTTACATATATATTGTACATTCACATCAGTCCCTAACCCTCAAGGGGTGTACAATCTAAGGTTCCTAACTCACATCCATACATACACATACTAGGGCCAATTTAGACAGGAGCCAATTAACCTACCAGCATGTCTTTGGAGAGTGGGAGGAAAAACGGAGAAACCCACGCAGGCACAGGGAGAACATGCAAACTCCAGGCAGGTGGTGCCGTGGTCGGGATTTGAACCAGCGACCCTAGTACTGCCAGGTGGAAGTGCTAACCATTTAGCCACTGTGCTGCTTATCTTGTTTATCTTGTATTTTTCCAGTGCTGTGCATGAACCTACAGTACATCAGTCCTAACATATTTAGTAATCGATCTTGGATATCTTTTCTGCTGCAAAAGTGACTACAGAGCTGAATCTTGGTCTTCACAAGACTAGTGCAGGTCATAGGCGGTTCATTTATCAGCTGAATTTTCGTCTGAAAGAATAATCGGCCGATATTCACACCGTTAGTGGGGCAATGGTGGAAAATTTACGAAAATTGGCCGATTTTTGTAATCATTGGTGGCAGCAGAACGACCGATGTTTCGTGTTTCCGCCGCAAATGCGTCTGATAAACAAACTGTCTAGGGCCTGCATTAGATTGAACTCTGCAGTCACTTTTACAGTAGTTTATTATCCGAATCACAATCCTGCCCAATCCCTTTTTTTTTTTTTTTTTTCCCTTTTCTCTTTGTCAGTTGACTATGTCAACCGCCCTTATGCTTATCAGATGACGTTTTCTCAGAAACTGTACATGCCGTCATAACCTTTTGATACAGTACCTCGTAACACCACAAATAAATTGGCAACTTCAGTCACAGAGGCACCAGCTAAGCGGCACCAACAATGTCCCCTCTTAGTAAGCTTTTGACATATTTTTTTTTCATACAGTTTGTACATATATATTGCATTCAGAAAGTATTCAGACCCCCTTAAGTTTTTCAATTTTGTTATTTTGCAGCCTGATACTACAGATGTTTTAAATTTATTTGTTTTTTTTCCTCATTTAATCTACATTCAGTACCCCATAATGGCAAAGTGAAAACAGAATTTTAGAAATGTCTGTGAATTTATTAAAAATAAAAAAACTGAAATATCACATATACTTATGTATTTAGAACCTTTACTCAGTACATAACTGAGAATTATTGTGGCCAAACAGGTCAATCTTGGTTTCATCAGACCGGAGAATCTTGCTCCCCACAGTCTGAGAGTTCTTTGTCTGACTTTTGTGCAAGCTCTAACTGGGCTTTCATGTGTTTTGCACACAAGAGGACAGACGTCTGTTTAGCCACTGTGCCAGAGAGCCCAAATTGGTGGAAGGGTGCAGTGATGGTTGTCCTTCTGGAACCTTGTCCCAACTTCACACAGGATCTCTGGAGCTCAGTCAGAGCGACAATCAGGTTTTTGGTCACCTCTCTTACTAAGGCCCTTCTTCCTTATTGGGCAGTTTGGCCGGGTGGCCAGCTCTTGCAGGAGTCTTGATTATGGCAAACATCTCCATTAGGGGATTATGGAGGCCACTGTGCTCCTGGGAACCTTCAGTGCAGCAGATGGTTTTTGTAGCCTTCCCCAGATCTGTGCCTTGCAATAATCTTGTCTTTGAGCTCTGCAAGCAGTTCCTTTGACCTCATGGCTGTTGCTCTAATACAGTATGCATTGCCAACTGTGCAGCCTTTTATAGAGGTGTATGCCATTCCAAATTATGTCCACTCAATTTAATTTACCACAGGAGGACTCCAGTAAAGGTGTAGAAAAACATCTCTGCAATCATCTAGAAAAATGGGAGGCACCTGAGCTAAGTGTTAATGCAAAGGGTCTGAATACTTATGCCAATATCATATTTCATTTTTTCCTTTTTTATATGTGCAAACATTTCTAGAAACCTTTTTTACACTTTGGTCATTGTGGGGAACATAAAATTGAACAAAAGTGAAGGGGTCTGAATACTTTATGAATGCAATGTGTGAGTTGAGAGATAGATAGATAGATAGATATATATTGCATATTAGAAAATGCTAGTTTAACAAATGGGTAACAAAGTGCCCCACAGCAACCAGGCAGCATCTGCTACAAGATTGAACCAGTCGGAATAACAGAAGATTTCTAACTTACTGCTGGGTAGAAGTGAACTCTTCCTGATACTGTAAAGCCCAAGTGGCTTAACCGGTGTTGTCATTTTCAATGAAGCACATTCTATAAGAACAGGATTAACGCCACCTATATTCAAGTACAAGCTTAGCCAAAGCTCTGTCAATGCCCCAACTCCATGCTTTGTAAGCACACATGAGGAGAATGGACATGTACAGCCTGCCCTAAACCAGACATGAAAGGGCAACACCATGCTTGGTGCAGACACACAGCATCACTTACACTTCAGCTCTTCAAGCTATAGAACTTACCCATTGAAATATGCCTTGACCTGGGCCTGGTGGAACTGATCTGCTGGCTGGGACATAGTACTGTTGGCATGTCCTTCATAGTTACATAGTTAATCTGGTTGAAAAAAAAGTCCATCCAGTTCAACCAAAAGATTAAAAAAAGGCAGACACAAATAGAAAATCTCCATATACATTATCCATAACCACAGTTGATCCAGAGGAAGGCAAAAAAACCACCAAAGCATGATCCAGTTTGTTCTGCAGGGGAAAAAATCCTTCCTGATCCCCCGAGAGGCAATCTGATATTCCCTGGATCAACTTTACCTATAAATGTTAATATCCAGTTATATTATGTGTATCTAAGAAACAATCCAGGCCTTTTTTTTTTTAAGCAATCTACTGAGCTGGCCAGAACCAACTCTTGAGGGAGTCTATTATTTTCACAGCTCTCACTGTGAAGAAGCCTTTCTGTGTTTGGAGGTTAAATCTCTTTCCCGCCTCCTCGTCCTCTGCGATGACCTTTAAAGTGGTAGAAAACTCTCAATCTTGATTTTTACCTACAGGTAAGCTTATGATAATACTTACCTGTAGGTAAAATTAATATCTCCTAAACGTTCACAGTTTAGGAGATACTCTAGGGAGCAGCAGCTGGTGACGTGACCGGAGCATGCACCTCTGAAGAAACTACATACCTGTGCCGTTCCTTCAGAGCTCTGTGCCACGCCATGACTCCGTGGCACATCGAGTGACATCGTGGCTCAGCCATTTAAGCGGCCACAACCTGCGAACCCGGAGGAAGACAATGTGAAGATGGAAGCCTCTGCAGTGGTGACAGCGTGCCGCTGGAGGGCTTTGTTGTCAGGTAAGTCTTTCATAATTTGCAATTATGCAATGTATACTAGCACATTATGCCTTTTTTACCTTGCAGGGTTTGTTTGTGTGTTTGTTTTTTCCACCTTTACTACCACTGTAACCACTTGCACTCCTGAGGATTTACCCCCCTTCCTGACAGTCCATCTTTTGCGATACGGTGATGCGTTACTTTAACTGACAGTTGCGCAGTCATGCAATACTGTACATAAATGAAGTTAATATCCTTTTTTCCCACAAATAGAGCTTTCTTTTGGTGTATTTGATCACCTCTAAGTTTTTTTATTTTTTACGCTATAAACAGAAAAAACAGACGGTTTTGGAAATAAAAAAACAATGTTTTTTACTTTTTGTTATAAAACCTATCCAATGAAAAAATTAAAAAAATAAAATTTTGTCAAATTTAGGTCAAAATGTATACTGCTACATGTCCCAATACGTGTAAATTAATTGATTTACATGAAAGTTAGAGCGTCTACAAATGGCAGTGTAT